AAAAAAAAAAAAAAAAGAAGCAAAAGCCAGAGTTTGTTCATCACTCCCTATAAATGCTGTCGCCCTGCTATTCACTAATCTCCCACAGACAGCCACCATAAAAATTAAAACCACGCCAAAACTAGCCAATCTGCCATGGAAAATACCCAAGAGCCACGACTCCAAGTAGCCATGGTTCCCACTCCGGGCATGGGTCACCTGATCCCACTCGTTGAGTTAGCCAAGCGACTCGTTCACCATCACAACTTTGCCGTAACCTTCTATGTACCCAGTGATGGCTCCTCCATGAAACCCCAAAAGCAACTCCTTCAGTCTCTCCCCAACTCCATTTCCACCATCTTTCTCCCTCCTGTGAGCTTCGATGACCTTCCAGAGGATGTCAAGATCGAGACAAGGATTGCTCTGAGTCTCACGCGCTCCATCCCAAATCTAAGAGACTCCTTCAAGGTATTGACCGAGTCAACTCGGGTGGTGGCCATGGTGGTTGACTTATTCGGCATGGACGCATTTTCTGTAGCTAGAGAATTCGGCATCGAGCCATACATTCTCTTCCCAAGCACCGCCATGGTGTTGTCTCTAGTCTTTCATATACCCAAGCTTGATGAAATGTTTGCCGACGAGTATAGGTATTTGCCTGAACCGGTCAAGTTACCAGGGTGCGTCCCGGTTCAAGGGATCGATCTGATCGACCCGATTCAAGATAGGAAGAATATAGCCTACCAAGCGGTTCTCAGCCTCTGTAAGGGTCACCGATTGGCTGCTGGGATCATGGTTAATAGCTTCATGGACTTGGAACCGGATGCTTTCAAGGCTTTGATGGATCCAACATCGAATCTACCACCGATTTGCCCCGTTGGACCACTGGTACAAACCGGTTCAGTACACCAAGTTAATAATGATAATAGTAAGTGTCTGAAATGGCTGGATGAACAGCCTAGTGGGTCGGTTCTCTACGTTTGTTTCGGAAGCGGGGGGACTCTTTCTCAGGACCAGGTAAATGAATTGGCGATAGGCCTGGAAATGAGCAGACAAAGGTTTTTATGGGTCGTAAAAAGCCCACATGACAAAGCTACAAACGCCACTTACTTCGGCGTGGACAGTATTGGAGACCCTTTTGATTTTTTGCCTAATGGATTCCTGGAAAGGACTAAAGGCGTGGGCCTGGTGGTCCCGTCTTGGGCCCCTCAGGCTCAAATACTGAGCCGTGGCTCGACTGGAGGGTTCGTGACTCACTGCGGCTGGAACTCGACCTTGGAGAGCATTGTGCACGGGGTGCCGTTGATTGCTTGGCCTCTCTACGCTGAGCAGAGAATGAATGCAGTGCTCTTAGCCGATGATTTAAAGGTGGCATTGAGGGTTAAAGCGAAAGAAA